ATCAGGGCGTGCCAAACCAAACCAAATTACAGATCCATATGGAGATCCATACGGATGTAGCTAAACACGAGTGCGAAATTTGTCACAAGAAATTCAAAGTGGAATATTATCTCCGTATCCATAAATTACTGAACCATAAAAAAGAAGTGCTGGGCATCGAGGAAACATTTCAGTGCGAGATTTGCGGTAGAAAGTTTACTTTCGAAAAAAGCTTCAAACGCCATTTGAGCTGCATTCACAAGGTGGGAAAGGATATGTCAGTTGAATGCTCGGTATGTAAAAAGGTTATATCTAACAGACAAACCTTGAAAAAACACATGAGGACTCATACGAGTGAAAAGGCGTTTTCCTGTGAAACGTGCGGAAAAGGATTTTCTCTGAACACGTATTTGATCAGACACCAAAAGGTGCATTTGAGAGAGAATGGATTTAAAAGAAAAAATGCGTCTAAAAAATCTTGAACTAATATAATGGGTAAAGCTTGATTTCTAATTGGTTGTTACGTGCCACTTTTCATCCGTAGATTTTTTACTTCAGCCCGTCAACGGAGAAAGTTAAAATCACAGATAGAGGGAATAAGTTTTGATTGGAAAGTGCCCATAAGGACAATGTAAATACTATTTGGCGCTATTACGGTCGCGACCCAAACCTTTTGATAATTTCAGAGCGGTTCGGCTTTTTCCGAAATTATGTCGCCAAAAATTGTTTATTCAAATTTATTATTACTTTCTTTTAATTTTTTAAATAAAATACAATGTGTTGCATATATAAATTTTATTTTATATTTTATTTTCTTGATTTTGATGTGCTGAATGATATATTTAATTTGCACGGTCTGTCGACATGGGTGCCGGAAGAATGAAATTTAGGGGGGGGCAAGGTAAAAATGAATAAAAAATTGACATTTTTGGTAATTATTGGGAAAACTGGAAATCGTCCGATTTTCACCAAAATTGGTATACACCCTAAAATTGGTATGCACCCTATTTTGAAGTCGTAGATTACGAATCTGAACATTTTTCTTGGCGGTCTCTTACCGTTTTTCAGAAAAACGGAAAATAATTTCAATATCGAATTTTTCTTAATTTCTCATATTTTTAAGGTTTTCTAGCACATATTTTGTTAGGTATTCAATAATCAATAATGTTTTTGCTATTTTCTGTTAGTTTTTTAACCAATTCTATGCATAATAGAGGAAAATTTGCTAAAATAAATTTGTAAACAATCTGAAAACGTTAGATTATAGCTTTGTTCGGGTTCTTGTTATTACCGATTCTGAACCGTCCAAGAACTCTGCAGCGCATGCGCAAATGAAATAATGTCTTCATATTTCCTTCTGCGCATACGCATCACAGTTCTAGGACGGTTCAGAATCGGTAATAAGAGAAACCCGAAGTAAGTTTATGTGTTTCTGGCATTTAAAGCAACGTTGCCAATGCTAAACCTAAATTTAGCGTGTTTTTTTCGCTCATTCTGGAATTACGAAAGGCGGTCGCCAGAAGAACGGCTCCTTCCCATAACTGCTATTTTACCAACGAGATCTGACTATTTATACCCACGAAGTTGCACGAAAGAGTTTTGATTGCATTGGTTACAACTTCCATGCAGAGGGTGTTAATCTTTTGTTGTTATATTATTAGATTAACTAAAAAAAGATTAACCCCCTCCGCAAAGAAGTTAAAACCAATGCAATCAAAACTCTTCCGCGTAATTTTGTGGATATAGGTGTATATTTAATTATTGTCGATCTCATAATAGGTAATTTATTTAAAATCCGTAATCACCCGAAATAGAAGATTCTAGACCTAATCTAGAAATTTTCAAATTTCTAGATTAGGTCTAGAATATATTTGTCTCTCTTATTACATAGGAGAGAGAAAGAAGGATATTCAATAGTATATCAAATGTCAAACTTCCATCTGGTCTCAATTTTCTTTGCAATTTTTTTAAGAAAAGTGTTTTTCAGTAAAATGTTGGACACTTTTCTATCCCCAATCAAGTGTGGCTTTTAGATAAACTATAATATAATGAAAATATAGTGAAATTATTACTTTATAGGGCCGAAATAAAGAAAAATTCAATGTTGAAATAATTTTCCGTTTTTCTGAAAAACGGTAAGAGACCGCCAAGAAAAAAATAGATTCGTAATCTACGACCTCAAAATAGTGTGTATACCAATTTTAGTGAAAATCGGACGATTTCCAGTTTTCCCAACAATTACCACATTTTTTATTATTTTACAGGTAACACCTAACAATTTCATAATAATGATTATTTTTTTACAGATGGATGTAAGAAGATAGCTTTTATTTTTATTGTTTCAGTGATCCAGGGGGGGGCAAATGCCCCCTCTTGCCTCCCCTGTCCGGCGCCCATGTCTGTCGATCCCCGATTTGGCCGCCATTTTGAAAAAGTCGATATAAAAACTACATTTTTATTAATTTTTTTAAATATCTCGGTCTGGGTGCATTGTAGAAAAAAAAATGCAGGTAACCAAAAATAAAGCAAATTAAATTCTCTACAAAAAAGGTTCTATTAATTATTCTCGTAAACTTATCAGTTCTAAAGTTATAGCAATTAACATCTAAGGCTTATTAGCCGACTATACTAAAAGGTATGGTACTAGATGATACTGTATGGGGCTATAAGATCGGCAAAAAAAAGTTTTTCTAATTTCACTCAAAATGAGTTATTTGGGTCATAAATGACCTAAATACAAAATATTTTCATGGTGTCTGTCTGTCTGTCTGTCTGTCTGTCCGTCTGTAACACGATAACTCAAAAACCGCTAAACCGATTTTAACCAAATTTGGCACAAAAATACTGTGGCACCAGAGAATCTGGCCATTAGATTTTGGTGGGGGTTTGGTAAGGGGGTATGGGAGGGGGTTAAAAATTTTAAAAAATCGTAACTCCAAAATTACAGTAGCTAGTGAAACGCGGTTTTCAATTTAAGATTAGGAATAATATTTGCAACAATATTTGTAATAACATCAAAATCAGTGAAAGTCGCAGTTTTTGAGATATTCCGTGTTTCCGTAGTCCGTTTTTGAGAAAATCTGTGTGGAGAATTCCAATCTCCCATCGGACGCGACCCCGTGGCGGATAGGGGAAATAACCGCGAACCAAAATTGGAAAAATTCCTTTACTTTGAAACTAAAAGAACTGCCTACTAACTTTTTATTAACATATTTTAGTATGGGCGGCTATACGCAGTGGCGGATACAGAGGGGGGCCCAAGGGGCCCGGGCCCGGGCCCGCCCTAAAATCTGTAAATTGGGTTAAATATTAGCCTTTCGGGTTAAAAATGGTACCCTGAAAAGCATATTCTATATAATTTTTTTTATTTGAATTTTCTGTACAGTGCACCCAGACCGAATTATTTAAAAGAAAACATAAAAATGTCATAATTTGATAGGATTTTCCAATATGGCGGCCAAATCCGGGATCGATAGACCGTGCAAATTTAGTAGAGTATTCAACAAAGCAAAACAAAGAGAATAAGTGTTATTGCAGCTTGCCTCTAATTATTTCCACCTAAAACCACTTGTCGACTGGTCTAATGTATGAAATACCTATGAATCATTGGAAACCGACGTTATGCCACGATCCACGATGGTTTTTGCAGTGCACAGTTCACACAGTTTTTTAAGTTTTTAATGACACTTTTTCACAATTATCACGGCTTTGAGAAAATAATATTTAAATAAAACTCACAAGATAGCAATAATTACTTAAAAAATGTAGGTTTTAAACACTTTTAGGTATTTTTTCAACGAGGGCGATTTAAATTTTAAAAGATTTTATAATTTCTTAAAGGTTCTCACTTTGGTAAGAGAAAATTATTTCTGTTCTTGTTCGGCGATTGTTCTTTGCAACCGCTATAACAGCGCCCTACAACGTATGCGATCCTAAACAGTTATAAGTTTTGACGGCACACCGAACATTCCAATCTAAACTTGTTTCTTTTATCTATGGTTAAAATAAATTTCACTTTTCGATACAATAACGGACGTTTTGACACTTTTTTTGACAAATTTAATATAACCTTAATAAAAATATCAGTAAAACAAAGCTTTAGCCATTGTAATTATTTTATGTATATTTTTTATTCACATTGTATGAATTTATATTATGTTAAAACAAATTTGTAAATTCTTGTAATATATATTGAAATACACATATAGCAATATATGCATATATTTTTATTTTATTCATAATTAAACTACACCACAGTACATCTAACCAGAGACTATCTTATAAGTTAGTCTGTGGTTAGGATATACTATGGAATGTGATCTAAGGCTTCTATTACACTATCAAATTTCTTTATCAAATATTTTTTATAAAAGATATTTGATGAAAAATTTGATAGTTGTTAATTTACAATCTAATATACAGGGTGTTTCAAAAAACATGTGCCATCTCTCGTGGGGAGATTCCTCGCGTAAAAATAAGATTTATTTTCCATATCAACATAGGTCCAATTCTGCTTTGTTTCGTAGCTACAGAGTGTTAAAATCTTAATAATTTTTCGAGTTATTATAATTTTCTTCCAAGTTCTTTTAGTGATTCGAATGAAATTTTGAGGATAAAAGTTACTATAAGTTACTATTTTTAATGCTAAAAAAGTACCGATAAATTCATCAGGGACGTGGATATGGGTATCACTCAAATATTTTTCAAAGAATGTGGCATTAAAAAAATACATATAACCCTAAATTTTCGCCCTTCTACAATCAACCCTTATTTTTTAATAGCGATATTAGTAATTGAATCATTTTCAATCAATTCTGTCAAATCAATTTCCGTCAAAAAAATTACTGTTGTCCCATAAAAAAAATTATATGGCAAAACAACGTTTGCCGGGTCAGCTAGTATTTTATAAAATCACACATCAAATCACACTATCAAATTCTTCATAAAATATATTTTAAATAAAATTTTTGACAAAGAAATTTTATAGTGTAATAACCGCCTAACCAATCTAGAATTTTACTAAGTTAATTTTTACAGGGGCGACTCGTGAATTTAATGACATATGTGGAACAATGAAAAATCTTACTTGCCTACTATTTTTTGTACATATACAGGGTGAGTTTCCTACTGTTTTCTCTATGGGTATCTCTCGGAAACTACTGGAGATAGAGAGTCGGTTAAATGTGCAAAGAATTGCAGTTTTGTGGGGTCATAAATATGCGCCTTTCAAATTTTTGAAAAAAATTATGGCTTACTCGATATTTCAAAAAAACAAATTTAGGCTATTTTAAAAATTGTCCCTAATTCCATTACAATCTATTTTAGACAAAAAGTTTTCAGATAAAAGTTGTAGATAATCATATTCCTAATGAGTTTTTGTTCTCCGATTTTTTCTAAAGCCTGTCATTTTTGACATATGACACAAACATATGTTTTCTCAAATGGAAATCATAGTTGGCCATAAGTTCATAAAA